TTTCATGTTTTCAAAAGAGCACAGTGCTGTTTTCCTATTTGCTTCTATTTAGTTTTTTAGGGGCTCTCCTATTCTGACCATCGACTCGGGCCTGCTCAGACTCCTGAGCTGACAGCGTGTGTCAGGCTGGCCCTGGCTCTCCCCACGTCCCTGCAGCTCCTGTTCAGCAGGAACATCGGGGAGCCAGTGCTTCAGTCACGCCGCGAGAGGGCCCATCTCTGCCACTGTTTGGGGCCCCGACCACCTTCCTGTCGTTAGGGCAACTGAAGGAGGCTCCTGGGTGCTTTGCCAACCCATTGCAGCCACTGAGCCCCTTCCTGCCACTTGTGGTGCCTCCTGCTGGGGTGATGGAGAGGAGGGTGAGGATGATTAAACTGACGTTACATCGACACGTAGAGAAAGCAGGGGAAAGTACACCGGCGGGCTGCTGTGGTCCGCCGTCTCTGCTGAGTGGGTGAGGCTGATTTATCATTGTCTTTCCCTTTCCTTCATGTTCCTTTTCCTTTCCTGGATTCTCTGAGTCTTCACAGATGAGTGTGCATTAACATTACAATTAGAATTTTTTCAAATCTATATTGTCATTTTGCTACTAACTTTTATGCTTACATATGCCCAGTCCTCTACATACATTATGCTGTTTAGTTTGCATAATTCGATAGGTGGCCGCAGCCCAGAGGAGATGAGCCACTGGCCCATGGGCCCTTGGCTCGGTCTGCTGGCTCTGGGCAGGGGTGCAGGAGCCAGCTCAGAGCAGAGCCTTTGCTGTGGGCTGCTTGGCCTCTTCGGGGGTCTTCCTAATTTCTGTGCACGACTCACAGACTGAATCCGAGGAGCACCTTATTTCCCTCTCGTGTAGCTTCTCCTTCCAGGCCACTATAGGCGAATTTTCACCTCCTACATCTCTCTCAAACCCTCACTTCCTTCCAGGCCTCCTAGCACCAACCGGGAGAGTTCACAGCTCGCGCCTCTTCTCTGCTGGACCATTGGAGAGACCCTCATTACCTCTGTGCTCCAGGCTTGTCTCTGGCTTCGCCTCCTCATAGCCAGAGTGATCTTTCTAGAATGTGGGCCTGCCCAGGGCTTTTTCCTACTACTCCCCTGACATTCAGGGCAAGGTTATGCCGGCCAATCCCTGCTGTGCGTCTTCTGGCCATCCAGGTTATCCAGCAGGCCCAGAAGGTGGCGTCCTCCTCTGCTCTTTAGGAGGACGTTCGTCTGGTGGCTCCGAACCTCACGCTCATCCTTCTGCACGTCCTCTGTGCCACCCACCGGGCTGCTCCTGGGCGGTCTGCCAGATCACAAGGCGGGGATGAGGGCAGAGCCATGCTGTTTTCAGGGGCCGTTCCAGGTAGGCAGTGGCAGTGGCTCCTGCTCAGCACAGCAGCTGAGGTTCTAGCAGCTTCCACAACAACATCAGTGGTACCGAGTCGGGCTGGGTTGTGGGCTGCAGCCCAGGTCGAAGGCAACTTCTTGATCACAAAGACATTTCCCTCTGGCCCCCAAGCCCCTGAAGGCGGGGGAGCAGTTTCCAGTCTCTGGGTAGCTACTCTGTCCTCTCCTGCTCCGCCAGCCCACGGCAGCAGCAGCTCCGGGTTTCTGATTAATGCCACATTCCCCTTTTCAGACTTTCGGCCCTTCGGACACCGTTGTTATCATTCGCTGCGTTAAATCGCGCTTGGCTGTGAGTATTGAGAGTGGTTTCTGTTCTCCCTGCCTGGACACTGATGAACACAGGCCTGAGTCTCCTCTGCCTCGAATGCCCTCTCCCCTTCTCCTCACGGGTAATTCCATGTATGGCAGACACCATTGCGAGTTCCCCCATCTCTGTTTTTTTTCCTCTCCTGCACACTCATATGGATCGCTTCCCCCAGCCTCCCTCGCAGGTGGGCACAGCCATGTGAGTGGATCCGGCCCAAGGAACATGGCGATGGCCACACTTCCAGGCCTGAGCCCTGCAAAGCTGACCACGCCATCCTTTGTGCTTGTTCCTCTTTGCTGGTGGCCGGACACGGAGGTCCAGGGCATGGTGGGATGCCTGGTTCCTGAACGATCCTGTGGGTAGAGCATCCCCCACACCCACACTAGGCCATGATGTCATTTTGGGGGAAGCCCCTGAGATGTTGGCCTTCTTTGTTACCACAGCTAGCCTAGCCTGACACATGTGCCACTCAAACTAACTCAGCTTCACAGTCACCTTAAAAATCTCTGTTTTATAAGATGAAGAGTTCTGGAGCTGGATGGTGGTGGTTGCAATTATGAATGTACTGAATACCACTGAATTGTATGCTTAAATTTGGTTAAGGGGGTAAATTGTATGTTATGTGTATTTTAAAACAGTAAAAAAAACTGGGGGAAGAAACCAACAGCAACTAACAAAATCCTGAATCAATAATAATTTAAATTGATTTTTAAAATGTAGATATAGCATGAAATACTTTTTAGGAAACAGTTCATCTAATGAGAAAAAATCAAAATAATAGGTGCTATAACTTTCACAGCTTACTGGTAACTGCTCTATTGAGCTGAGAGAGAATAAAGGGCACGGCAGGATCACGAAGACAATACGTACCAACCAAAAGAGGTGCTGTCTAGAACTGAAAGGGCTTCTCTGAGTGAAGGGAGGGCACAGAGAAATTATCACACAAGAACTGGACTTTTCTACAGCCTCCAAATTAGCTTCTGTAGCAAACCAGATTTGTTGTAAGTCCTGCACCTCTCCGCTTCTTCGTAAATTAATTTTGTCATGTGAGAAAAAAGTCATCTTAAAATAACTCAGTTTAAAAGCCCAGCTCATCAGTCACTGACCCCTGAGGCCTTCGCTAGTCCCCTGGGGACACTACACGTAAGACCAAGTATTTCTCTTTGCCAGACCACAAGAGCATCTTGGGGGAGAGCTCTGTACTGTTTATTCACCGTGGTCATCCTCAGCCCAACACAGAACCACACTGCCAGGTTTTCAGTGCGCATTGCTGAAAGAACAAATGGGAGAGGGTTTGTTAAGTTTAATGAGTGGTTACCGTGTGCCAGGTCCTGTGCTAACACTGCACATGGGGTCCTCAACCAGGCCTCACAGAGTCCCTGGGTGATAGGGGGCACTAGTCCTGCTTTGCAGATGAAGACCATGAAGCACAGAGAAGTTAAATAACTGATAGGGGCCACACAGCAGGGGGGTGCAGGAGTCAGGCCCATGCATCTGGGCGCAGAGATGTCACTTTAACCATTCATCATGCATGGAATAAGATCAACTAAACAACAGTAGTTGTCAACACAGGGTAAAAATCTATACATTTCATAATAATGTTCATAAATGTATAAACTTTAGCCAAAAGCAACATGAGAATATCATCCAATGAAAATGGAAACAGGGTCTGTCCCACCCATGGGAAGAGGGTACATGTGCTCTTATTCCCACAGGGGACCCCTCATGGGGGACCCTGGACTCCAGTGCCCCTCACTCCCCTGGCCAGTCCCCAGCCCAGGCTCGTCCTGTCCCGACTGATGGAGGCAGTGGTCTTCCAGGGCCACAGCCCCCAGCCTGCCCCTCCCCTAACCTGTTTCTTGACTCATCTTCTTAAACTACAGCTCTGTTCACATCACAACCCCACTCAAACTCCATTGTTCCGGGTGCCTGGGCAATAATGCCTGAAAACTGGAACCTCGGAAGGGGATGGGCCTCCCCTTCCTTTCTGGCCTTGGGGGCCCCATGCCACTCCTGATAGGACACCTTCCACAGACTGGGCAATTTCCTGACTCAGAATGTCCCCTTCTCCATCTCGACCCCCAGAAATTCTATTTCCACATCCCTTCCATCACGACAGCTTCCTGGTCCCCCGGCCCCCGTGCTCCTTGACTCCCATGCCGCGGGACATGCTCTCTGCTCCGGTGTTTAATGTGGTCGGCATGGCCTCTAGCTATTTGTGGGGATGCTCTCTGTGTCCTGACAGCTCCCTGAGACAAGGACCAGGCAGTCATCTTTGAATCATCCAAAAGGTCTACAGAGTGGGAGGGCGATGCATTTGCCTGCTGCACAAGGATCTTTTTATTGCTCAGTTAGAACTAATGTAATCTACTGAAAAAGAAAATGGATGAGGAGTCTAAATTGGCCCTGTGTTGGAACTGATCTTAAAACAAAATATGGATTTTGTAAGAACTTCAAGTTGCTTTTCTAAATTAGACACAAAACAACCCACCTAATTCTAAACTTGGCCAACATTTCAGTCTTCCATTTTGAACAGATGAAAAGCTAAGGAATTATATGAACTGTTTCCTGAGCTGGCCTCCTGAGTGGACGTACAATATTGGTGTGCCATCCTGGGGGAATGCAAGTGGCAACAAACATATAATGAAGAAGAAAGCAATTCTAAGATGGGTCTGGAACTTGGAAACAGACCACTTTGTTAGTGGCCTTAGCTGCACAGGGAATAGCACAACTGGGGCCTGGCTCGAACACAGCTAAATCTAAAGTACATTTTGAAAAATGGAATCAGCATTAGATACTATTTTCAGTTTAAGAGACCCTCAGGAAACTACTCCAAGTTGCCAAAAGTTTGGTTATTTTCTTCCCACAAATGACTTACCTATAAAACAGTTGTGTGACACTGATTTCCACCTTTAGGCAATCAGGAAAAACCATTTTTTCCTTTACCCACTGCATATGTGTCTGCTGCATGAGTTATACTGAGTTAAATCTTTGCGGAGTGACTTATTTCTCTAAAACAGTACAAGCATGGGCTTGAACTCCCAAGTCCTTGGAAATTCAGACCTCTCGAGTCCAGTATTGATGATGAGTGTTAACCCTGGTTCTCCACATTTCTGGAGACCAGCCCGTGCACCAAGGCTGCTTTCTATGAGGAACACGGAATGAGGAACAAGGACACAGGACGCAAGACAGATACACCGTCACCATATCCTGAAGTTATGAAAGATTTGTGCTGAATTTGCTGCAGCAAGCGACCCAAGACCATCAGAAGGGAAAACAGCCAGTCTTCACACCTACTTACCTTGTCCAAAGCTTTTCAAATTCTCTTGGTGTGAGGGGAATATCAAAACCGTACAGAGCGTTCTTTATATCCCGTCGTCGAAGAATGCCATTGCCCTCATTATCAGTTTCTATAAAATTCTACAATATTAGAAGGTGGTATTTAGTAACACATAAAATGTATTTACAACAGCACAAAAGATTTTCAATAGTCAATGTCTGGAACAATCTAAGGCATTTCTCTCCCCATCCACCTACTTGGTTACCATTTTATCTAAGTTCTAGATATCCTCACTGTTCCTGAAAGAAGGTGATAGAGCAAAATAGGAACAAGTGTTATATATTGAAAGGGGGCTGTTTCTGGGTAAATGAGTGAGACATAGATTCTTCTGACCAACAACTTGGGTTTACAAACTATTAGAAATTATTTCCTAGACTCTGGGATATGAAATTCAGGATTATGGTCTCAGTGATATTTTGGTTTTGGTCCTCTGGCTGTAAGAGGGCAAATGAGGGACATCAGGCTCCACTATTATGACAAGATGATATAGCACCATTTTTATGTCCTTGAAGGGTGCAAAAGGTCCCTGGGGATTTGCCAGGCATTTAAGAGGACGACAGATGAGAGTAACAACTGATAGACACTGTGATCAACACTGCCTTAAACTGTTTCCAAGTACGTTCATTTAACCCTCTTCATAACAACACTATGAGGTAAACATAAGGGTTCATCTACAGAATCTTCCATAAGCATTATGCTTCCTGGAGAAAGAACATTTCCCTTAAGATCAGGAACAAGATAAGAATATCTCTAACACCCTGTATTCAACATTGTACTGGAGGCCTCAGTCACTTTAAACAGGTAAAAGGAATAAAGGTATAACAATAGGACAGGAAGAAATACAATTGTCATTATTCACAGATGACATGATTGTATACACAGTAATACAAAGAATTCCACAAATAAATTATTATAAGAGGTGAATTTAGCAAAAGGCTGGATTCTACGTCAACAGGCAAAATCAATTACACTTTTTATATCAGACACAGAAAATGAGGTTTTAAAAGATAACATTTACGGCTGGGTGCGGTGGCTCACGCCTGTAATCCTAGCTCTTTGGGAGGCCGAGGCGGGCAGATTGTTTGAGCTCAGGAGTTTGAAACCAGCCTGAGCAAGAGCGAGACCCCGTCTCTACTAAAAATAGAAAGAAATTAATTGGACAACTAAAAATATATACAAAAAAAAAAAAATAGCCAGGCATGGTGGCGCATGCCTGTAGTCCCAGCTACTCGGGAGGCTGAGGCAGGAGGATCGCTTGAGCCCAGGAGTTTGAGGTTGTTGTGAGCTGAGAAGACGCCACGGCACTCTAGCCCGGGCAACATAGTGAGACTCTGTCTCAAAAAAAAAAAAAAAAAAACATTTAAAATAGCATTAAAAACAGAAAGTCCCAGGAATAAATCTATAAATGATATGTAAGAAATACTTGTATACAGAAAAGTATAAAACTTTATTGAAAGATAGTAAAGAAGATAAAAATAAATGGGGATATACTATGTTCATGAATTAGAAGACTCAAATAGTAAAGATGTCATTTCTCTCCAAACAAACATTGTAACAGGCTTTTTTTCCTTGTTGAATGTGACAAACTGATTTAAAACTTTTGAATAACAAGACGGACTTGCCAACAAGCTAATTAAGATGTATTAGTGTCATTATGTTACAGTGACTACCAAGATGCGGTGTGGTGCCAGTGGAACAGTGGAACAGAATGAGGAGCCCAGAATCACCTGTGGGCTGTGAGATAGGACAGTGGTGATGCTGCAGGTCCCTGGGGCAAGGATGGACTTCAAAGTGACTGCTGCTAGGACAGCTGGACCTCTGTGTGGAAGAAATGAAACTGGGTCCCTGCCTCACAACACACAGGAAACAGCCAGTCCAGATTTCAAGACCTGAATGTAAAAGTTGAAACTGTACATAAGAGAATGTGAGAGAATATCTTCATGACTTCAAGGTGAGACAGAATTTCTTAAATAAGACCAATAGAGAAATGTTAATAAATTTGACTGCTAAAAATAACTTATATTCTTCAAAAGACACCACATAAAAAGGGCGAGAACACAGAATACAAACTGGGAGAGGATATGTGCGTCCATATTACTTACAAAAGAGCAGGACCCGCAGAGCAGTGCACACTGTGACCACAGTAGAGTTTCTATTGGCCAATGAAAAAAAGGCCAACAACCCAGTCTGAAAACTGCAAAGTCTCAAGCAAGCACTTCACAAAAAAGGAAATCTGTCTAATGAAGAAACAAATGAAAAGATACTCAATCTCATTTAATAATCAACAAAATGCTAATTAAAGCTGCAATGAGATACTATTACACATCCACTAGAATGGAAAGAATTGACTCTGATAGCACCAACCCTTTCAGCAGTAGAGTTGAGTAACTGTGGCAGAAGCCTTTTGCCCACAAAGCCAAAAACATTTACTGTCTGGCCCTTTATGGAAAAGGTGTGCCAACTCCTGCTCTAAGATAGTGACAATATTCGTTTCCTTCATCTGGATGGTGGTTACATGGTGACTACTGTAAATTTATTTAAAATATACATGTACATTTTATATACTCACAATTTCAAAAATACTTTATGCTTCAAAAAATTTAGTCTGCAAGATTTCAAAGTCCCTTTAAAAACATGCAGCAGGCCTGGCATGAAAATGCTTGGGAGTCACCATTCTGTCCCAACAACAAGTCAAAATCCTAACACACTGAAAAATCAACACCTCTTCTCAGATCGTAAGAAAAGTGAGGTTACATGGCAAACCACTGCCCCCAAAGTTGGAGAGAGACAGGTGAACACAACTTACCAGAGCAGACCCCCATGAGCAGGACCCACGGCAGGAAGACGGAAGCTGAGGGAACTTGCCTACCTCATTCTATGGACCAGGATGACTCCAGCACCAAAACCAGACAAAGATATTATGAGTAAAGAAAACCACAGACCAATATCTCTCATGCACACAGACGTAAAAGTCCTCAACAAAATATTAGCAAGTTGAATCCCACAATGTATAAAAAGCATTATAAGCCGTGACCAAGTAGGATTTATCCCAGATATACAAAGCTGGTTCAACACTTGAACATCAGTTAATGTAATACATCACAACAACAGAGACAAGAAGAAAAACCACATGATCATATCAATAGATGCATAAAAATTATTTGACAAAATTCAATACCCATTCATGACAACAACTCTCAATAAACAAGGAATAGAGAATTTCCTCAACTTGATAAATGATATCTTCAAAAAACCTATAGCTAACATCACACTTAATGACGGGAAACCAGAAGATTTCCTGCTAAGGTCAGGAACAAGGCAGGGATGTTCTTCTCACTGCTTTTTCAACCTTGTGCTGGAAGTCCTAGCTGATGCATTAAGACAACAAAATAAAAGGTATACTGATTGGGAAGGAAGAAATAAAACTGTCTTTATTCACAGATGACACGATTGTCTATGTAGAAAATACAAAAGAATTAACAACAAAAAAACTCCTAGAATTGACAAGGAATTATACCAAGATTAGTACACGAAAGTCAATCACTTTCCTATATATCAGCAATAAACAAGTGGAATTTGAAATTAAAAAAACAATACCATTTACATTAGCACCACCAAAAATGAAATACTTAGATATAAATCTAATAAGATATGGTAGATGGCAGAAATAAAGACCTCCCCAGCCCACATGTCACTCTCCTACAACCTGTTTATTATTATTTTTTTTACAGCACTGATCTGCCTTGTTAATAATCTGTTTTGTTGCTTGTTGACTGTCACCTCCACTGGTCTATGAGCTCCAGGAGGTGGGGATCAGACCTGCCTCGGTTACCCCAGATCCCAGGACACGACTGGTGCTCGGTCGACATGCTGAATAAAGCAAAGCAGGGAAGGACGCAGCTGGGAAGGGCCCTGGGGTCTGTGGAGAGCAGCATTGGTAGGTGGGGGCTGGGAGGCTGGTCTGGTTGCCTTAGAGGGTGAGCTGCAGGGAGGGGAAGAGAGAGAGGCCAGGAGAAGAGCAGCGGGGAGTGCGGATGAGGAGAGGCAGAGCCCAGGCCCAGCTGAGAGGAGAGGCCGCTGGAGAGCAAGGGGCCCTTGTCTTTCCTAGGTCAGACCCCAGTGAGCTGAGGGTTAAAGAGAAGCTGGTGGAGATGGAGTAGGGGATGGTGCCAAACCCACGTCCTGCTCTCTCCCCAGCTGACGTGCCCTGTGTCGGCTGTAGTTTCAAGCCAGACCCTGCCCTGCACTCCTCCGCCCAGAGGGCTGCTCTGAAAGGTGGGCCCTGCCTCAGTGGGCCTCACAGAAGTTTGGTCTATGTGACTGGCCAGCCTGGGCCAGCACAGACAGTCCACTCTATGGAGGACAGAGGGCTGCAGAGGCAGTGCCAGGAGCTTAACGGGATTTAAAAGAGAACTTCATTTTGGGCACAGGCCAAGAAAGAGCAAACACAGAAAGAAAACAACTAAATGAAACGAAGCAGAGACATTCTTCAAAATAATATGAAAATACTTGCATAATGCAGTTTTAAAAGTGCTTCTTAGAGGAAAGTTACCGTGTCCTTGTTGCATTATAAAATGGCGATCCCATACCCCATCCTAGATTTTCGGACAAGCCCCGTTTTGCACATTCAGTTCTATTATCCTATAGGTATAGCTGTCATTGCCACTGTCAGATTATACATCCCATAATCACAATTTACATGACTGCACATGGAGGGTACCAGTTGATAAATGTGCTTCTATAATTTTGGCAGGACCAGGGAAAATAGCTCTTTAAAATGCATGTTTATATCATGTAAAATTAAGTATGACAGCATCTTAACATTTTTCATTTAAATTTTTAATTCACGTCAAGCCTGAAATAATGCCAGGAATTTCTAACCCTAGCTTCTACAATTACTTATCTTTCTAAACATCAGTTGACCTTGAATGTGAGAATTTAGCCTGAAAAAGTCTTTTGGGAATAAAAGGAGTCACCAGGTTGGGTATACAGAGTTTTTCCCATCTCGGCAGCTGGGTCTAAATAGCTTGATCATCCCAGTGATCTTGAAACACTGAAATAGATTTTCTTTCCTTTTAAGGAAATAATCACTTTCTTACCTTAGACAAGTCTGACCATCTGTTTTTCGCTTTGGTAACAAGATACTGATGAGCCTGTTCACAAGCCAGTTCTGAATCTGCGACCTTCTGTTTTGGTCTTAAAAGAAAAAAAAATAATAAATAACTGTGTTTAAATTTAATGGACTCATTAATCTCTCAAGGGGTTCCCCTACCCCCTGTTTGTTTCAAAGATACCATTAAAGTCTGTTGTTCCACATCTGGTCTAACTTAATTCTTAAAATACAGTCTTATTTCTCCAGCTGCGTGTTAGGGAAGTCTTCTTAAATTTTGTAAGTCCTTGTTTATTTTCAGATAAATGCTATTCAACTTTTTTTTTTTTTCAGCAAACAAAACAAACAGGGCTCATTTATTCTCAGAGGGGGGAAAAACACAATATAACATTAAGTGTCTTAGGAAGAAAACAACTTAAAACTTTTGTCTGAATTTGCAAGATGGAGCACAGACGAAAGGAAACAGCTGAGGCACGGGGAGATGTGGCTTCCAGACTTCTCTGTCTCAGCTCATTGTCCCAGGTTAGGCTTGTAGGGCTTAAAGACGATCAAAATTCTGTCATATTCACTCACAGGATGGACACTGAAGACACTGATAAAAAGCCCCTGTGCTCCTAGTCCCTGGCCAGGCCGCAAGCAGCGCAGGGGAGACCGGGCAGAAGGAACTGGGCGCCTTGGATCTTCCCATGCCTGAGAACACACCAGGTGAGCACGGAAATCTGTAAGCCCATCACGAACTTCTCAAGGCCCTGGCCAGTGTGCCCTCATGGTGTGAGTCTCCTCCTCCACTGCCCTTGACCTCTCCCTGCCTCCCCATTCTCTTCTGAGAGGTCATCCTTTCTCATGTCCTCAGCTACAAGTGCTGGCCAGAAATCTGCACCACTGGTCCCAAAGCCTCACCTGCTTTTCTTCCTCATCTCTCTCCAACTGCCTACCGGACTCCACAGAACCATGGAACTTCCAGGGTGGAAAGGCAGTCACAGCTCAGCCAGCCTCATTCCCTACCATGACTTCACCAATAAAGGATTTGGAAAGTTCACGGGATTATGCTGCATTTTACAACTTTTGATTAAAAGGACCGTAAGTCCTAATGAGGTATATTCTCCTGCCTTCACCTTTAGACTCTTCCTAGATCCCACTTGCACCCAGGGACTCACCTGGACCCCCCCAAAAGTGCTGTCACAGAGCCCCCAAGGGGCATGTGCCATCTCAGCAGAGTCACTATCTAAACACATATCCAAACAGCCCCCCAGCCCCCACAACCCGGTTTCTTTTCTAGGTCATAAAGCTTGATTATTTCCTTAGTTACCTGTGCTCAACCCAGAAACTCCTACTGATTTTCCATCCATTTCTTCCCTTTCTCATTTTACATACTTGACCCTCTAGAGAGATCAGGTGGTTTTCCAGCAGGTACTTCCTCTCCTGCTGCCTGGCTCATTAGACCTTGACAATCAGTCAGATCAGCCTTCCTATCAGCTAGTCTTGTCAGTCACAAAAACATAGGAACAGTCACTATGTGCTGCTCTAGATCCTGCAAACACAACAACCAACAATGCGGACAGAGTCCATGGCCTCAAAAAGCTCACACTGTGACGGGGGGACTTAGAACAAACAGATGGAAAAATAAGTGAATCAGATAACTTCAGCTACTGCATGTGACCAAGAATGACGTGGGGAGGGGACACTTCAGCAGAAGGCCAGGGAGCTGCGCTGTGGCATTGTGGGAAGACCCTGGGGATACACTCTAGGCCATGCAAGAGTCCAGGGATATGCTTCTGGTCCCAGTTAAGACAAGCAGACACACTTCACTCTTTCTCTCCCTCTTATGACAACCAAAATTCCCGCACAGAATACAGAGGTAACTCTCTGAGGACACTAAAAAATAAATAATAGGAGGCTGATGGAGAAGGAAATCAAACCTTGAAGAAATACACAGTTGTGGGTTTCATGGGGTTCTCCTTCCATATTCCCAGATTAGGCTTAAGGGCGGTCCTAATTCTGGAACAACACAGCAGATGTGGACAGAAAAAGCTCCGAAAGCAAGCCTGTCTTTCTGACCAAGGAACCAGGAAGGAGGGCCCCTTAGGGACAAAATCCCGCTTTTTTGTTTCTTTTTATTCTCCTAGTCCTGATCTGAGGCAAATCCAGTTCTAAGACTGCACTTTTGTAGTGGTGCCAACAACAGCAGTGGCCAAATAGGTCCCTAAACTTTGAAATTCTTCTCTCTGACCAGAGGCTATGGGAAAGGGGTCCCTTGTGAATGCTGGGGGTCTCTGTGGGTTTTTTCTCTCACCATGTTACCCTGGAGGGGGCCCAGTTGTGAGAAGTGCACAGCAGTACAAATAAGCTAAAACTTAAGATTTTCTGGCCAGGAGACCAAAAAAAGTAGCCCCTGGGGGATGGAGAGCGTGGGGGAAAATCACAGAGAAGAGAGAGCTGGAAGAAGGAATCCCCCACATCCGTGCAGGAAGTTCCACGTCCAGCTCTGCTGTGCGCCTGCGTGGAACTCATCCACGGCAACATGGCAATGGCTGTGAGAACTTGACCACTGTGTAGTCAGACTGGCCCCTGCGTGGGGCATACGTGGGCTTCCCTGAATAGTGCTGCAATGACTTTGAAAACTAAACTCACACTGCAACCACAGAAAGCAGGTCAGGACTTGTGTGAAACTAACTGAGCTGACTGCCTGCTAAACAAAAAACCAAACCAACACACTACAGAGGATTTTAACAGGACCAGAGTGTCATAATAAAATATTTAAGATGTCCAGGATACAATCCAAAATTATACGAAGAGCCAGGAAAACAGGAAAATCTCAATAATTATCAAGGTAAAAGACAATAGACACAAACCCTAAGATTAACCAGATGTTGAAATTATCACATTTTAAAGCAGCTATTATATTCATGAAGAGCAAACATCCCTGAAATGAATAGAAAGACAGAAGTTCTGAGAAAAGAAAAAGAAGAAGAAAGAAGGAAGAAGGAAGAAGAAGAAGAAAGAAAAAAAGAACAAGAAAATAACCAAGTGGCAACTTCGAAATACAATGATTGAAATGAAATTTTTGGCCAATGAGTATATGAAAAAATACTCGACATCACTAAGCATCAGGGAAATTCATATCAAAACCACAGCGAGATATCATTTCACCCAGTTAGAAGAGCAAATGCTGGCGAGGATGCAGAGGAAGTGGAAACTCCTACGCTGCTGTTGGGAAGGTAAAGTAGCACAGCCACTAAGGAAAACAGTACAGAGGTTCCTCAAAAAACAAAAATAGAACTCTCGTATGATCCAGCAATCCCACTGCTGGCTATATATCCAAAAGAAAGGAAATCAGTATATCAAAGAGATACTTGCACTGCTATATTTATTGCAGCACTATTCACAATAGCCAAAATATGGAATCTAACTAAGTGTCCATCAATGGATGAATGGATAAAGAAAATGTGGTATATACACAATGGAATATTATTCAGCCATAAAAATGATTGAAATTCTATCATTTGAAGCAACATGAATGGAACTGGAAAACCTTATGTTAAATGAGATAAGCCAGGCACAGAAAGACAAATATCACGTGTTCTCACTCACATGTAGGAGCCAAAAGAGCGGATCTCATGGAGGAAGTGAGTCAATGGCAGTTACCAGATGACTAGGGGGGCAGGAGGGAGAGGCAGCTAAGAGCAGCTGGATCCTGGATACAAAAATAAAGTCAGGTAGAAGGAATAAATTCCCGTGTTTGATAGCATAGTAGGAAAATGATAGTTAATAACTTATTGTAAAAATAAGTTATAGCTAGAAGAGATAAATTATAATGTTCCCAACACAAAGAAAAATGTTTAAGGTAATTGGGATATCTATTGATATCCCAATTGTCCTGATTTGATCATTTAATCAAAATATCACATGTACCCCAAAATATGTATAACTATGATTTATCAATTAAAAATATAAAAAATTTTAAAAAGAAATAAAAATTTTACTGGATTGGCTCAGTGGTGGAATGGAGATAACAGAGGAATCAATAAACTTGAAAATAAATGAACAGAAATAATTCAATCTTAACAACAGAGAAAATAAAATAACATCATCTCAGAGATCTGTAGTACAAAGTCAAAAGATCTAAGCTTCATGTCACTGAGGTACCAGAAGAAGCAAAAGATTGTATAGAAAAAAATACTCTAAGAAATAATAGCTGAAAACTCCCAAAATTCGGTGAACATCAATATACAGATTCAAGAAGCTCAGTAAACTCCAAAAGGGACAAACTAAAAACACAAAGCAAACAAAACAAAAACCACATGCTCAGACACATCATACCCAATGTGCTGAAAACACAGAGAAAGAAACACAGAGAAAGAAAAAAATCTTGAAAGCAGCCTGAGAAAAATGACACGTTACAAATAGGGAAACAATATTTGAGTACTTGCATACTTCTTACCATAAACCATGGAGGCCAGAAGACAGTGGAACAACATTTTTAAAGTGCTGGAACAAAAGAATTGTCAAACCGAAATTCTATATCCAGCAAAAATATCTTTTTAGGAATTAAGGAAAAATAAAGATATTCTCAAGGAAAGAAAATTAAGACAATTTGTCTCCGGTAGACCCGCTCCCAGGGCTCAAATCCCTGCCCTGCCCCCCATCACCTATGTGCTATGGACATGTCACTAACTCTTCTCTGAGCCCCGGTTCCTTCCTCTGTGAAGCCAGATAGGAATGCCTCCTTGCAGGGCTGTTGGGGTGTAAAGGACACGTCTTCAGGAAGCACAGCATGGGGCCTGGCCATGGAGGGCTCAGCTTTTGGAAGAAGTGCCTTGGTTTGGGTCTCAGAGCTGTCTTTCCACCAAGCCCTGGGAGGCCAAGCCAGGCCCCAGGGTGCAGCCTCTCCTCCGTCTGTCTACCCTCCCTTCTGGGGCTGCTGGAGGATCTTTCTAAAACTCAGTGTGAGTCCTTCACTCCGCAGCTTACAAGCCTCCCCTGCCCACTGACAAAGGATGACTCCTCATCCTGGCATGCAGGCTCCTTCACAGCCTGCCCTCCTGCCCTCCTGGCCTTCTCCCCTGCCACACCCCGACCCCTGTGCAGGCTGCCCCTCCACATACAACCTCCCCCCATTTCCCAAATGTGCTCAACACTCCCACCTCTGTGATTTTGCAAATGCTGTTCCCTGGCCTCGAGTGACCTTTCCTCTAGCCCGCACCTGGCAAACTCCTACTCAAACTCCAAGATTCAGCTCAAATGTCCCCACTTCTCCTGAGCACCTCAAGAGGCTTCAGCTCTGCCCTCTCTGTGTCCCTGTGGCACTTCCATCATCTTCTCTTTCAATGTAGCTCTTTATTTTTGTTCCTGTCTCACATTCGACCATGAGCTCCTCAAAGGGAGCGTTTAAGTCTTACTCATCTTTGCACCGCCTAGTCCTGGGATGACACCCAGCACACGGCACACCTTAGTAGATATATGATGAATACATAAATAAATACAAATGATAAGGTTGAGAAGATTGCACTTTGTGGCTGAAATTTTCCAAGTTCATTCTGCATGCATTCTCCAGAAAATTCTTTGGGCAGGATTTTGTTTTGTTTTAATGTTAAGCAATCAAGTCTCACATGAAAGCTGCTCAGAACCTGAATGATTAGAAGCAGGTATCCAAATGTTATATGATCATTTTGCTTAGGAAGACTCTATAGTCATTTTCCTGCTTACTTTTTTTTTGGATAGACAAAATAAAACCTATGAATAGAAGGGAAAAAAATTAAAGTGCAACTTCAGAGGGCCTTCTGCAGCCTAGCCAAGTGTCACAACAGTCGTACAGTGGCAGTGGATTCTGGGGGCTTTACTCTCTGCCCTTGCCCAGACACTTGCCTGGAGCCCCTAGGGGCCATGCATGCCTCAAGGACAAAACAGCACAGTGAATGTCCCTGTGATGCTGCACCATCGCATCAGAAAACGCACCTCTGGATTAGCACAATAGAGACAGCAGTTCAGAAATACTAACATTACAAGAACTGCCGAGGACGGGCTCACTGGCTACTTCATTGATGCATGTCGGCACTCAACAGAGCTCAGCAGGGAACTGGGACACATTGGAGTGATTCCTTTCATTAAAAGGATTTTTTTCTGCAAAATTTGGATTCAGGAAAAGGGCCACAAGTGGCCCAAGGCCACAGGTTCCCCACCGCTGGACGGTGGGCCCCATTATGCCTCCAAGGAGTGTCCACTCTTTCTGACTCGACACTGGGATCCTCCTCCTCACTACGAGTGGGGCTGGGCAGGGGCCAGGGGCAGCAGGGCCCAGGGAGGGCCTGGAAGGGGGTCCCTGAGTCTCCCGAGGCAGTGGCACAGACAACTTCTCAGTTCCTGGCAATTACCATAAAGATGGTCTGTGGTTCCCCAAATTCACACTTCTCACCTAGATTACCATTTGGAGGTGGCAAGGAGGTGGGAAGCATCAGCTCCTGAAGAAAGTTCGTGTGTCTGCTTGGCAAGGACTTGCCTGGACCGGATTTACGCACAGCCCTCTGCCTGGCCCTGCGGTGGGCCCCGTGAGGGCCGAGCCTTGGCAGAGCAGAATGTGCTCAAAGGTCTCTCAAGCTTGGCTTTGAAAAGGCTGAGCGAATAGCATATGTATTTGACCTCGGATTAATAAACAGAAAAAATAAGTACATGTATGTATTTATGCGCATAGAGAAGAGACTGGAACCCAGCGAAATATAAAAACAATGCTCACAGGTGTGAGACAAGGGTTGTATTTTCTGATTGCTCTACGTTGAATGCACATTCCTTGTATGACTTTCCTTGAACTAAGAAAAGGAAAAATAATCACTCCATTCTTTGTATCCTTTGCGGACACAATAGAAATGCTGAGCTTTATGGTGGCAAAGGCCATCGTACATGAGAGACACTGAGCTGCCTTCTTACCTAACGAGTCTTTGAGGTGCGTCATCTGTTCTGATCGGTCTCTTTTCACACAAATTCTGAAATTCCCGAAAATTTAAAGTGACACTAAGTCTCAAACCAAGAAGGCCAAGGAAACGCTCAAATTCTTCATCTCTGAGGTTGAGCAGCAAGTGCAGCAGCAGTCTCTGAAGGTCCTGCATGTTGATTATGCCATCCCTGTCGGTGTCTGTTTTAAAGAAGGCTGAGTAGGAGTCCTGAAAACAAAATGCATGTGTCAAAGCACTCCCTTCTTATCCCGGGGTGACGCCGCACTCGTGACCCTGCACGTGCGGACGCTCTCCACCGTGAGGAAGTGGCGGCCTGGCTGCGTCTCGGCTGCTACTCTGGGAGACCTGGCTGTGCAGAACACCCCTGCCATGTTTTGCTTCTCCCAGGACATTATCAACTATGCTCTCCGGCTCCTTCTTTTAACGCAAAGAGTTAAGGGAAAGGAACAAAAAAGGCGTTTCCTTCCCTTCCACGCTCTCAGTTTCTGGGACTTGTACTTCAGTACTGGCAGGAAGAAAAAGAAAGTGCTGGAGATTTCTGGACCATATGAGAATCTTGCTCGCAATGTTTTTATATACCTTTCATAATGTTTGGCCACTTCTGTCTATCAGAAAACAAATGCAGTACTGAATTTCATGCCGAGGAGCCACCTGAAGGCCAGGCCTGTTTGTGATGACGTGATAGAGACCACCTGTGTCTAGGACCTGGGACCAGCCATGTCTGAAGGACTCCGCTTGGCCCATTGCGCCACTTACTGGGACGGGAAGACCCAAGAGGAGCAAACTGGGGCAGGGGTTGGGGTCAGGAGTGTGATTTTGGCCGTGTTCAGTTTGACGTCTAAGAGGAAATGGCCCAAACTGCTGGAGACGAGTCTGGGGAGGTGTGAGGGCCTGGAACCGGCGGTGTAGCAGGAGTCACTGGCAAGCGCATGGGCCTGCAGCCCCGGAAGGCCCCCTAAGGTGGGTCCTGACAAGAAGAGGCCACCAGTGGGTCAGAGTCTGCCCGCCCAGGCAGCATCTGTTACATTGATTTCCACAGCTTTTAGCATGGTGATTACATATATTAGGTGCTGAATAATTTGGGGTGAATTAATAAATGAGTGAATACAGACAGATCTTTCCACGAAATCCCCAAACATTTTAATTAGATACTTGAGTCATAGCAGGTCTTACTTTATATTGTAAATAACCCCTTTTGCAGGAACCTGCAATATGAAAGTACAAGTACGATGCTTCCAAAATAGACAGGTAAGCTCGTGGGGCAGGGCTGCATCAGGTGCTAACGGACACGAGGGAGTTGGGGCCACATTGGCAGGAAGCACATGTGGGAAACACAGGCCTGGGCCCAGACAGAGCCTTGCACATGCAGTGTGACCTTAAGCAACAGCAACAGTAACAAACAGCTTTTCTGGAGCACTCACAGAACACACCAGGCACCCTGGCAAGTACTTTGCATACATTAACACATTCACGCCTCACAAAAACCCAAGGAAGTAGGGACTGTTATAACCCCCATTTCATGGATGAGAAAACAGAAGCATGGCAAGGTTAAATATCTCACCCAAGGTCGCGCTAGTAAGTGGCAGAGCTGGGATTTGCAACTAAGCAACCTGCCTCAAGTGTACTAGTGTACAAATCACATGTTCCCCAGAAACCTGGAGCCTGTTTCCTCATCTGCAAAATGGCAATAGCTGTCTCCTGTCTGCCACCACCTGGCTTGAGCTGTGTCATCTATGGCTTGCTCCTCACTTTTCTGGCCAGCTCATGCTTGGGGCTTACAATTCAGTGCAGGGCCCCCTCCTCCAGGAAGTCCTCCTTAAGGGGGTCTTTTCCCTGTGCCCCTATAGCACACTTCAGTTTCTTCTACAACAGCCGATCACCATGTACATGAATTGTCTGTTTACCATCCATGTCTTGGATTAGATCGGGCCCCCTGGCAGGGCTGGCGTCTCCATCCCCCTCATTTGGCGCAGAGTCTAGCACACAGGCAAGTGCACGATACCTGTTTGGTGAGGAACGAGTGGACTGGATGAATGGATCCTAGAGTCACAGTACCTCAGCTGTCAAGCTGCTCCCCGGCCCTGCCCTCCCAAGAAGTGAGGAGGGTCTCCTGACTTCTCCTCCCAACAAAGTGTCCTCGGGGAGGCCCTCAGGGAGCAGGGGGGTCTCAGAGTTAAAAAGCGCCCCCCGCCCCATGCAGCTCTCTCTGACCAACACTGAGTCTGTGGAGGAAACACTTCGTGTCCCGTGGTGACTGGGAGTGACTGGGCACCGGGACTCCACCCTTGGTGGGCTGCAAGGCCGGGAGCCGGTGGGGCTGCAGGAGTGAAGCGGTGGACGGTCACAACTTACCCGGAATGACTCCTTCAGTCTCCTGGGGAAGAGTTTCAGGCATTCTTCCGCAGTTATAAAGTGGCTGTCCAGATGACTTTTTGAAGAAATTGGAGTCTGAGGTGGGGCTGCTTCTGGCTTATTCCTTTGAGCATCTGAAACAATGACATCAGTCAGATGACTCTCATTAGCACAGAACTTCCACACTTTACCTTCTCCTGCCTCAGTGCTGCCAAATCCTGCACAGTCACACCACCCTGCGAATCGAACACAGCATTAACTCTGTTATGAGTTTCTTTCCCTTTGATCTCTTAGACGTGTTCCTGTTATTACGAGAGGAACTGTTCTTTAGACTACAGGGCTAGCCTCTATTGGCACACATTGCGCTTGGCGCCCTGGTGCCTTTACTTGTCCTGTGTCTCTGTCATTCCTGTTGTTCATCTCCGAATTCCCGGAGGCAGAGAATAAAAATTCTTGCCTCTTTTTTGTTTCTTGGAATCATGTCCTAAAGGCCAGAATGTGTAATTCATTCAATGTTCATTAATTCAACAGGTATTTCCTGACCACATATCTGTTAGACAACATGACAGGGGCCTGCAGATATTTGTTGGTCCTTCCCACAACCCTAAGAAGTAGGATCCCATTCCCCGTTGACACAAGAGTGAACATATCATCATGTCCCTCTTACACGGGAGATGAGCCCAGAGGGTCCCCCAGCTTCCCCCAAGAGCACAGCAGACTCTGGAGCCGGCTGGCTCACTGTAGCCCCGTGCCCTCTCCCTCCCCTAAACTGGGGAAGGAAGTGTAGCCTCTGCTTAGCAATTGATCCATTTCCTTTGGGCTGGGATCGAGGGTGGTCTTGTGTCAAAGCCAGGTCACACACTGGGGACTTGGTTTCAGAGTGGCTCTGCACACATTGTTTTTTCTTTTTGAAGCATGGAAAACAAATTTTTATGCCACTCAGGTAGTAAATAAAATTTTAACTTTAACCCTGAAAGAAGAGAAAAATAAAAGAGCAGCCTTGCCCCTTCCCACTGGCGTGTCTGCAGATGGTCGCCGGCAGGGCATCCTCTGGCCCTGTCTCGAGCCTGGCTTCGGCCTCACCCCACCTCACAAAGGCGGCTGTGGCAGCCTCCCTCAGCTCATCACTGCCCAGCAGATGACCCCTCTGCCATGCCCCCCACGGACCTCTGGCATGGGGCCACCGGAGCCTCGGTCGCCCTTGCTGGGGGACTGATGGAGACCAGCAGGCTGCTCGGAGAGGCAGGGAGGAGATAGGCAGGGAGAGGGAGAGTCAGCAAGGGGAGGTTGACCAGGCTGGGCAGCCAGGAAGGCGAGAGCGGCTGGCAGATACCGATGGAGCCCCTGCTGCGACAGACTTGCCAGCCCAGGACCTCGGCAAACATTTCCTCACCTGAGAAATGAATGCAGCCGGCACACTGGAAGCGCTCACTAAAATGCATGTGAGTTCCTTTTTCTTCTCTTTATTTTCCTTCAAGAATGTCAAAACAGATACCCAGAGAAAGTGTCAAAATTCCACAGTGCTATGGCTTCTTGTGTTGCCTTTTTTCAGGGGTGTGAGGCCTCTCTTTCTATGGAGCTGGCAAATGAAAATCTGGCTGGGGGGGAACTTGGCGGTGAGCTGGCCAAGTTTTCCGGGGACGTGCTGCCTCGCTTGCTCACCCCCCAGACCAAGGCTGGGAGAACGGCAAAGTGCAGAGTTCTGCCTGGCCAGCCTGCAGGGTGTTTGCAGCAAAAGAGAATAGAAATTCTACGGATGTATTTGTGTGATTTCTGCAGCTTTTCTAGAGGGCTTGTTTGTCCGTCTAAATGTCTTTTGAGTGTGAGAAAGCAGAGCGAAAGGCCCCACACACAGCACAGAGATGGGTTTCCTAACAAGCACTGGTGAGTGATTGAGTCTTTTAGACTCTCTGCGTCCTTATCTGCCAGCAGGAAGGAACAATACTTGCCTGGCTGGTGCATGGTATTGTGTAATTACAGACAACCAGCATCTGTGTTAGGAGGAAGATCTTAAAGGACATGAGGTGTGATTGAAGAAACAGGCTTTGGAGTAAAGTTCATGAACCATTTGTGCTCTGAGTTTGTAGAAGACTCTTTCTGGCAAATTTCTGCACTCATGATTCTGTTTAACTTAGTGAAAAGAAAATGCCAAAACACAGTCAGATAAAATTAAACAAAAAAGGTCTGTTTGTAGTCCCAGAAGACACATGTCTCAGCATCTTAGCTTATGCTTCTTCCACCCGAGAGCCTAGTGGCACTGCCACCAAACACTTGCACTACCGCCCAGGATGCATCCGGCATGCGCACCTGGCCATTCACTACCTTCGAATCCTGTTGCAAAATCAAGATAACTCATCCCTTCTTTCTTAAAGCCTATTTTTGTAGTCAGCAGAGCATACTGGTCATCGTCCATGGGCATTCCAGTATCTTCTAGTACCTGGCAAGAAAGAGAGGTGACGGTAGAGAGGCATTAGGTTGTCCCACAGGTCTCCGCCCGGCCAAACCTTCCTGCCCGCTCAGGCTCCCACCAGGGCCCTGGGCTCCAGCCTGCCATTGTTACCCTCTGCCCCCACCCGTGGCTGCCAGAGGGAGGGGCTGGGTCTGCTGTGCCCTGGGCCCCAGGACAGCCTTGTGTTTGCTGAGCAGTGAGTGAACAAAGTACCAGCACCTGGGTCAGCATGGTGCTCAGTTTGCAGGCAGCACCGCAAACCTGTTTGAGGTCAAGCCACCCAAGACATCCAGATTCACACTTGTCACCACAGTAGCTTTCGGTGTCACAAGTTATATTCTCATATATTCAAAGAAATGCAAACACAATCAAGCAGGGTAGTTTGGGAGGGAAAACTAACATTTTCATTAAAGTCTCATTACAACCCATGGTTTACATTGAAAGCCACTGTGCTTTTTTAAGGTGGGGAGGCATCCATAGACGTTTCTTTCCTCTCCCTATGCTAGTCCACTCACTGGACGTCATTCCTGAGCCCTTCCCTCCAACGCATGCCCTACCCTTTCCACTTGTGAGTGTTGGGAGCAGGGGGGCACCTGAGAAAACACGCTTCCCTGCACTGCAGATATTGAAGGGGAATCATCGGGATGACGCCTTCCCAGGAGAAAGTGACAAAACTGATCGGCTGGACTGTTCACAGAGCAGACGATGCCCTTCGGCCAACGACCCAGACAAACCACTTGCTTAGAGGTGAGCCTCCCAGCAGGTAGGCAGAAGGCACCACCCGTGCTGCTGTCCAAGTAGTCATAATTTAAATGAGAAAAACATGGCTTTTCTTCCAGAAAGGACACAACCACAGTTCGAAATGTGTCTGTGGGTCTAGGGGCCAAAGACATCTAGGATGACTGACCCCACCTGGGACAGAGGACTGAAGGTTTTCTGGGAGAGCTGGATTTGCACGTGGGGTGTGGGCGAGGAACACATGGACTGGCACTAACATACATCAGGTGGTTCTGACTGACGCCGCAGGAAGCCAGAGTAAGTCGCAGAGCTCAGGAAGAGTGGGACGAAGCTGCGCTCACTGCACAGTGAAGAGACGGAGCAGGGGAGGGAGCAGGAGGGCAGGGTGAGACAGTATTACGTTGCCATCTTCACCACTGTCATCACGTAGTATATTTATTGCCTACTACGTGCCAGGCATTGTGCTGAGTTCTTTACAGGCACTACCCAGATATCATTTAATCCTTATCAGAAGCCTTCAGAAAGGTACTCTTACTAACCCCATTTTAAAGATGTGGAAACTGAGGCTTAGGGAATTTAGGGGATTTGTCCCAGTCACAGGCCTAGGAAGTGGCAGCCCTGGGGTTCAAACCCAGTTCTTATTATTAACCACTATGATGAATTCCGCTGTTGGAATAAGGTCATCAGGGCCTGACAAAGAACAGTGTGGTGGAAACGGGGAGGGAATGACACAGTAGAAGCAGAAGAGCGGCCGTGGAGCCCTGGTGCCCTCCCACGTAGCCAAAGGGGCCACACAGGCAAAGGCTGGTTGGGTCTCAGCAGAACATGAAGGATGGGGGCCTTTAGGGAGCTGCCAGGAGGGCTCTCCCATTTGCCTCCTATCTCCCACAGGGGGCTGTCAGGACAGCTTCTCCTGGCCTCCGGGTTCTGCTAAGGTGCGGCGCTTTTGGCCCTGGCCCCTCAGAGTAGAGCTGCAGAAGATAAACCCCCTTAGCTGCAGTCTGGATTTGGCTCTCGGCAACGGGGCATGCCACAACTTCTGGGGCAGTCATCAGCTCTTTCTGTTCGGCTATCATCCTTTTTGGTGTATAGGAAGAGGACCAGGGAGCTGCATTTGTGGATTATTCTTCCCTTTGCTGTCTCTGAAAGTAACCTGTTGTACTTTTTACTGGTCTGATCCGTCTGGCTGGGCCCCAGCTTGGCTGCGTGGAGACTGAGGGTAAGCAAGCTGCCAGGGCCTGGTGCAGGGCCGGAGCCCAGCAGAGAGGGATGTGGGCGTTGCAGTGTTGCCCAGGGAGGCTGGGCAGGTGGGCAGAGCTGGATTTCAAGGCTCTCCCAAGGGTCTGTCTGGGGACTTAGGCGGGAAGTGTGTGACCAGGAATTCTGACAGCTCTGAGCCATCTGCATGTGCACCCAGCCCAGCTCTGCTGAGGAACCTGTCCCAGCATGGATGGCGCGAGTGTTCAGCTGGAAAGCTGTGGCCCACACAGAAGCACCCTGGCCACAGTGGACCTCTGATTGGCTGCTTGCTTTGAAAAATAACTTTGTATTTTGAAAACAATGACACATGAATTATTCATCGCAAATTCCTCCTTCTCAGTCCTTTCATAAAAACATATGCAATGGATGGTAAGAAAATGTCTGTAGGCAAATGTTCCCCAGCCTGGAGGGCCCTGAAGCGCCCGGAGTGTCGCTGTGCCGCAAGCAGACTGTCCGGCAGTTGCAGGCGTGCAGTCCCAAGGGGCGTGGAGCACCACAAAGGACACAAAACCCAGCAAGCGCACTTCTCAGAAGAGGCACCGAGCATTCTACAAACACTGATGTCTCCGATGCCTCTTTCCAGGCTCCCCTTGCACGACTCTCATTTCTAAGAGGAACAGGGCAGCAACCAACTAGATCCATCATAGCCCTCGGAGGCAACTTACAACGGAAGGCTAGACTGCAGCAGTTACAAACAGACTTAAAAAACATTTAACCTTTCAAGTCATTTCCTTTGGTCTTTTCTAAGAGGCAATTCCCTAAGAAGGTTGCCCAGAGTGACAAATTACGCCCTCCACCTCTCCCGCCCCCTTCTTTACCTTCCAGTGGCATTAGCTGCCCAGGCCTCTTCCCTCTGGTTCTTCAGGCCAGGAAGGTGTAAGTTTCCTAGCAGTGTTTTATCTGCCTTGTGTGGTACCAACTTCAGCCTTCACTCAGGTGAAAAGCTGTAAAAAGTGGGAACGCACCCATGCCATTTCCATCTTCAAGAGTTGATGCCCTTCGGAATCTGCTTGCTTAGTTTCATTTTCCAGAGCCTTCGGGTACTTGGTTGTTCATTTATTTATTTATGTACTTATTTCACGTTGCCCAGTGTTTATACTTGATACCTGAGGGAAGGTGGGCCCAGTAGAAGCCTACTTAGCCATACTGGAAGCAGAACTCCCAGTAATACTTGCTGGATACTATAGCGAGCACATTAAGATACAGGTGTCACTAGCTCAGGGAAAGCCTTCTCAGTCGTCCCTAGCCTAGGTGACCAAAAAAATTGTCTGTTTACTTCTAGCATAGACAGTCTCTCGTACAGAGCCCAGCCCACAGCAGGCACCCAAGAAGTTGCTGGTGGATAGAGGTACGACCAGCGCTTCCTGTTCAGTTCCATATCCCAACAGCACATGGCAGATGCTCAATAAGTGTTGAACGAAGAGAAGAGGGACGTCGACATAAGGAACAGCAGGCACCGGACACTCCCCAGACTCACCATCTTGTCTGGAGGAACCTTGAGTCTGATGACGAAAGTGCCCGTCTACGCACACAGAGTGCAAAGTGGCCATTCAGCCTTGGCTAGGAAGGAGTTAGAATATCAAGAACACTGTGACGCAGGACAGAAAGGTACTTTCCTATGAGACACACACAGTGAACCAGGAGGAAAGGGAGAAAGCCTAGACAGGGACTGCGAAGTTGGGCCAGCTCTTTGACCTGCGGTGCAGAGACTCCGGCGTGGATATCTCACTGCGTTTGTGCTGTGTCAGCCACAGTTCCTTTACTGTTCTTCCCTTCCTGCCATGGTTAGTAATGCTCTCTTTGGCAGATGTTAGTTAAGGGGAACCAAGGAAAAGATTCATGTTTGTACTTGACTGAGAGATTTAAAGGACACACCCTGAGGAGATGTGGGATTCTGGGGAACAAAATCTAGAGACTTTTTTTAGCCATCCTCCCTGCCTGGAAATCATCTGGCCTAAGTTCTTCTGTGATAAAACTAAAGAGAGTTATGGGTTTTATTTTTAATAGTAATAGTATTTCTATTTCTTTACACACACACATTCACAGACAAAATGAAACAGGCACCAAACATATGTGTCTCCCCACCCATGAACCACCTGCCACCACGGAACCGCATCGTCCAGGATGCAGGCAAGACCTGAGAATTCCAGTCATCGCGATTATCCGATCACATGCAAGTCAGGTACTAGGGACAAGAGTACCACGGCTGGAAAAGAATATGGAACTTTCAAAATAGATCTAATTTGTACTTGAATAGAAAATTCAAATTCTTTTGGCAAATGCTTCCTAGAATCTTCAGACATACACATCTGCCTGTCCATGTGGCCCCCAAAAAGACGGAACCTGCAAAGCCAAACAACCCCAGGTGAGAGGCGAACGCGACATGGTCACATACACAGGCCGCAGGTGTACCTGGCTCAAAACGCTATTGCCAGTCATGGTGCAGATAAGGACTGAGCTTTCCTCTTCGTATCTTAACTGACAGGAACACTGTGAAGAACTAAATGGATGTTCAAAGGACACAGAACATCACGCATAAAAAGCCCCTTGTGGGAGGACGTTGCTGGTGGTGGGGTCGGCTGTGAGTGAGCATCTTGGGCACAGCCCCACCATGAGTGGCATAATACCAGGGGCCAGAGCCAGCTTCTGAGCTGTAAACACTCCTTCCTGGCTCCAGGGAGGAATGGATGCTCCCCAACGGTCACCGAGAAAGAGCATTTGACTGAGGATGTACTAGGGGCCGCATGGGACTATGTCACCTCCAAACAGTATGTTATTTAAACCTCACAACAATGCCTCAACAAATGTACGGCCAACCCCATTTTACAAATGAGGAGGCCATAGTTTAAGAAGGCTAAGTAATCACCTGTTTTCTAGAAAGACACAGCTGGTAACAGGTAGAGTTGAGACTTGAATATGTGTCAGGTGGGCCCCACGGGACAACCCTGTCTTATAGACTCAGCACTGGGAGAGATCAGAGACTGTCAGCT